TTATTTTTTTTAATTCAATTCTAATTGAACTGCTCTGACGCCCAACACCTATTTTTTTTCTTTCGCTTCGCCGACGCTCAAATCCAAAATTTTCTTCTTCTTCTTTTTTTATCGACTCAAATTGATCTTGTCTCCCACAATTTTTTTCCCTCAACGTTCCACGCTGCTGATCATTTTTTTTCCTCCAAATCAAATAATCGGATGAGATCAAGAAATTACAGAACAAGAACCAATTCAAAAATCCCTAAGATACTACTAGACTCAATAAATAAAAAAACAAGAACATGGAAATCAAAGACATAGATATACCCAATCTAGAGTCTGAGCTCCGATACCAAATGATATGAAACCCTAGGAAATTGCAGATAAAAACCCTTTCACCTAATGCGGACCCCTAACTGTCAATTTCAAAAACCCCATATCAAATAGCACAATCCCAAGGGAAGATAAGACGAGGATTACCTTGATGATCGAAGACCGAGAGGTAAGGAGAACTGGTTCCCTACTAAACGTTGAACACTCCACAAGAAGGTTGATCAAACCTAGCTTGAATGTTCTAGGTTTGCAACTTAGATCTAGAATTGCAAAGTTGATGAACCCTTAGTCATCACGATAAAACACTTCAAATTCATTGTTTAAAAATTGATCGTTCTGTTCACAAGATTAAATCCTTAATCTCAAAGGAAGATAAAAAGACTATACTACCCCCAATTAAAAGTGACATAGTTAATTTAAAATAAAAACACCTAAACATTGATAAATTCAATGCCCACATCATTGTGCTAAAAATATAAAAGACCTAAAAATAAGATAAATAACCATTTTTAAAAAATAATAATAAATAAATAAATAAATAATAACATTGTTAATACAAAATTCTGTCAGCTTCTTCTCGTGTCTTCATTTGGCTTCATCTTTGTCTCGTATATTCATTTGGCACCATGAATAAAGTTTTTTCCCATATTTATCCTCTTGGTGTCCATTAGTGGAGCTCACTACTGCTTGGATGTGAGAGTCAAATGCTAGCTGTAATTGTTTGTTTCTTGAACAAGTGATTGGTCCTGGCGGCAAGGCTAATGCATCCAGGTTCATATTAATAGCACTTCGAAGAGAGTTCCGGGAGGTGAAGTTTTTGTTGAATTTTTAAAGTGTGAAAGAAAGTGGAATTTGAAATATTGATAAACAATTGAATTTTACAAATTTAATATCCGAAAATTAGATTTGTAAGTTTTAATTCACATATACATTGTGAATTTTGTTTCATTTTGTTTATCAATTGTTCATTTATTTCTTTAGTTGTTATATTTCTTCATTTTACTAAAATTGAAGTTATACATTTAAATAAGGAGTTTTTCCCTTTATTTTGTTAAAGTTACAAAGTTAGATATTACTGAGACGATCGTTGTATCTTGCTAGCAACTTGTGCAGAGTGAATAATTGTCTTCATGTCAACACTATTGAAGCGTGCCTCGACTATTTTTATCAAGTTTTGGTGTTCATCAAGTTGTCAAGATCTATAATTGTTTGTAGCCAGTTACGTTGTAATCTATTGCCATATATAACGTATATTTACTAACAATTTGAAGACAGTTTGTTTATGGCTGGAAACACTTCTGCCAACGCTCCTTCGATGATAGGATCGACCATTGTCAAATCTCATACTGAAAAACTAGAGAAGTTCAAAGGAGAAAACTTTAAGAGATCGCAACGAAAAATGATCTTCTACCTCACCACCCTGAATCTTGCTCACGTCCTAAAAGAGGTATGCCCAACTACTCAACTAGAAGGAATCACTCCTGAAATTGAAGCTGTCAAGCAAGCGTGGTTGCATTCGGACTTTCTATGTCGCAACTATATTCTAAGTTTCCTGGATGACACCTTGTATAATGTCTACTACAATGTCTTAGATACTTCAAGGCAATTGTGGGAGACATTAGATAAGAAGTATAAGCTGAAAGATGCTGATATTAAGAAATTTGTAGTTGGAAAATTGTTAGATTATAAAATGGTTGATACCAAGTTGGTAGTCAACCAATTGGAAGAATTGTAAATTATCATTAATGATTTGTAAAGTGAAGGATTGGTCATTAATGAACCATTCCAAGTTGCTGCTGTGATTGAGAAATTGCCTCATGCTTGGAGAGAATTCAAATGGTATCTCAAACACAAGCGAAAGGAGTTGTCCATGGAGAATCTTACTATGAAACTCTGCATTGAAAAGGACAACAAAAAGAGGGACAAAGAACCACAGAAAGCTAAAGAACATATTGCTGAAGCTTCAAGGCGTTATCCCAAGAAGAACCAATCTAAGATAAAGGACGTGAATCTTGGGCCAAGGAATGACGCTAACAAGCACATTCATGGAATCTATTGGTTTGTGCTAAGAGTGGTCATATAGCTGTAAACTATAAACACAATAACGGACAAATCTCCAACAACCAGGCCAATATTGTGGAATATGACAATTTAATTGTTGTTATCTTTGAGGTAAATATGGTCTCTGACACCAAAGGCTGATGGATTGATACTCGTGCAACTAGACACGTTTGTGGGGGCAAATCATTGTTCACCGCTTATAAGAAGCTAGATAGTAGTGATAAATTGTACATGGGAAATGCTACAATAGCTTAAGTGGAAGGCAGAGGAGAAGTCCTGTTGAAATGGACTTCTGGAAAGATACTTACCCTCACTAATGAAAAAGAATCTTGTGTCAAGAACACTACTTAACAAAAATGGGTTCAAACTTGTATTTGAGTCGGATAAGTTTATTCTGACTAAGGGGTGTATGTATGTAGGAAAGGGTTATCTGAATGATGGCACCTGTTCAAATTGAATGTACTGGCACAAGTGTCCAAGAACAATAATAATAATAACAACTCTTCTGCTTGCATTGTTGAGTTGTGCGATGTATAACATTCTGGGGTGGGGCATGTCAATTATCATTCTTTACAAAGAATAGTAAGTTTAGGACTATTGCCTGATTTTAACATTGATAATAGACACAAATGTGAAGTTTGTGTTGAATCAAAGTTTTCTAGAAAGTAATTTTCATTTGTGGAAAGAAGAAATACGTTACTTGATTTAATCCACAGTGATGTATGTAACTTGAAAAGTACTCCCACAAGCGGTGGTAAGAGATACTTTGTCACATTCGTTGATGATTGTAATAAATATTGCTATGCATATTTATTACATAGTAAAGATGAGACCTTAAATGTTTTCAAAACATATAAAGTAGAAGTTGAAAATCAACTTGAGAGAAAAATAAAAGTGCTTAGATCAGATAGAGGTGATGAATATGAATCATCATCACTTTCTGAATTTTGTGAAGTTAAAGGTATAATCCATCAAACTACGGCACCTTATAAACCACAACAAAATAGTGTAGCCGAAAGAGAGAACCGAACATTGAAAGACATCGTCAATTGCATGTTAAATAGCTCAGGTTTACCCCATAATTTGTGGGGAGACTTTGATTGCAACAAATTTTATCTTAAATAAAATTCCACATAAGAAGACGAATAAGTCACCTTATGAACTGTGGAAAACAAAGTTACTCTCATATAAAATAGTAAAAGTGTGGGGGTGTTTGACAAAGGTACATGTTTCTTTACCAAAAAGGACAAAATTTGGACCTAAGACAATTGATTGTGTCTTTATATGTTATGCTATGCATAGTGTTGCTTATAGATTCTTGGTGATTAAATCAGAAAAACTTGATATTAATCATAATACTATCATGGAATCTATTGAAGCTAAATTCTTTAAGGATATATTTCCTTTTAAAGAGAAAGGCCGAAAGGTAATGATACCAAAAGGAATCATGAGACTAGCTCTTCGAAAGGTCAAAACGATCGGGAAATTGAGATCGAACCTAGAAGAAGAAAAATAGCTAAGAAAGCTACTTCCTTTGGACCTGATTTCATAACTTATATGATAGGAAGAGAGCCTCCAAAATTTTCAAGAAGCCGTGTCATCTCCAGATGCACCTTATTGAAGAGAAGCTATCAATAGTAAGATAGAATCCATTTTACACAACAATACCAGGGTATTGATTGATTTACCTCCTGTAAGTAAACCAATTAGAGGTAAATGGATTTTCAAAAGAAAGTTAAAAGCTTATGGTACTATTGATAAATATAAAGCCCGTTTAGTAGCTAAAGGCTATCGTTAGAAAGAATGACTAGATTTCTTTGACACCTATTCTTCAGAGATGAGGATTACATCTATAATGATGTTGATTCAATACTAGAATTTGGGATTTTTTTGACGTAAATGAAAAGTAAACAACTGTTGAAATTTCAATAAAAAGGTCACAAAAGGTTAAAAAACATGTTTTTGGCGGGTAAAAACGGAGATTTCCGGATTTTTGTCCTTTCGTGACGTTTTTTATCCATCACGAAAAGTGTGACAAAAAATTCTTTTTTGTGACGTTTTTGGTGAGACGCGTTTTTGGCAGGAAAAGACTGAGTTTTCCGAATTTTTAACTTTTCGTGACGTTTTTCTAACCATAGCAAAAAGTTGAAAGAAAACACGTTTTCCGTGACATTTAATAAACGTCACAAAATGGAGAGGCGCGTTTTTTGCGGGAAAAGATGCAGTTTTGGCCTTTTGATAACGTTTAAAAAAACGTCATAAAAAGTTATTTTCCATGACGTTTAAGAATCGTCACGAAAAGCTGAGGTTCATTTTTTGCGGGAAAACCATATTTCTTAAACATTTTTTAAACGTTATGAAAAGATGAGCCATGTTTTTAGCAAGAAAATATTTCACTATTTCTGCTTGCAATTTTTGGTAAATTTTTGATATTTTATGTCACGAAAAGTTAATATTTGACTTACAATTTTTATTCTATTTAAAAAAAATGTTGTAAAATATTGAACTAGATGATTTTTTTAACGTCACGAAAGATCATAAAATTTCAAGATTTCATGAAACTTTAAAACGTCACGAAAGGTTTCACACTTCTGTTTTCCATTTCGATTTTTCTGTTTGTGGATGAAATGAGTTTTTCTTATGTTTTGTGGTTATTATGAACTTTTGTTGGTTTGTTTAGCTTCAAATGAGTCTCATATGTCTAACCCACCTTTAATTTATGTCTTCAAATTCTTATTTGTTATGGTGAATTTTAAAATTTTATATTTCGTGCTTATCATCGTTGAATTTAGTTATTTAGAATGCTATTAGGCAAGTATTTTGAATGTTATTTAGAACGCTATTAAGTAATCGAGTAAGTAATTAATAGATTTTTAGAATTTTAGTTTTGGCTTAGCATTAAGGCCTTGTTTAAGGAATCAAAATTATAATGAATCAGAATGTAAATCAATCATAATTAAATCAATGGGAATGAAAATGTTATTACTTTGATGTACGTTACTTTAAGATCTTTGAAATCAGAATTAGAAACCAATTGATGTTATTTATGTAACGCCTCACGTTCTCTAGCTTATTTATTTTAAGATTTAAATGTGCCTAGGATTTTTCTCCTAAGCTGATAATTTAAACACTCGGATCTTCCAATTTCAAAGTTCTAATTTTGGGTAAATTAAAATTTAAATTAGAATTCAAGTTTAATTTCGTTGGATTAAGATAAATTATGTTTTCGAATATTAGAAGAGATTTTTAATTAAATTTTATTGTAAGAATTTGGAAATTTAAATTCCCCTTTTGAATTTTACTCTTGGGTTTTAAAATTAAGCTAATTTCTTAAATAAATTTTCAAAACATTTTTAAAATGGTTTTATTGGAAAAAGGGTTAGGATTTTCCCTCTTTCATTAAAATGTTTTTTTTT